CCATCCACTCATGAATCTATTCATCCATCCATCCATCCATCCATCCATCCATCCATCCATCCACCCGTCCACCATTCTGTCCATTCATCCTTCCATCTACTAATCTATTTACTCATCCATCCATCCAGCCAGCCACCAGTCTAACCACTCATCCATCCACTAATCTAGCCACATATCCATCTATCCATGCATCCATCCATCTGTCCATCTGTCTGTCCATCCATCCATCTGTCCATGCGTCCACCCACTATTCTATTCGCTCACCCATCCATCCACTAATCTATTCACTCATCCCCCCACCAATCAATCCACTCATCCATCCACCTATCCATCTACCCATCCACCCATCCACCCATCCATCCATCCACTAATCTATTATTCACTCATTCATCTGTCCACCATCCATCCACTAACCTATTCACTCACCCATCCACCTATCCATCCATCTGTTCATCTGTCTGTCCATTCATCCCTCTGCCCATCCATCCATCCACTCACCCATCCATCCATCCACTCACCCATCCATCCATCCACTCACCCATCCATCCATCCACTCACCCACCCATCCATCCATCCACTCACCCATCCAGCCATCCACTCACCCATGCATCCATCCACTCACCCATGCATCCATCCATCCATCCATCCACTCAACTGCATCCATCAATCCACTCACCCATCCATCCACCAACTCACCCATCCATTCACCCATCCTCCCACCCACAAACCCACTCACCCATCTACCCACTCATCCATCCACTCACTCACCAATCCACCCACTCACTTACGTACTCATCCACTCATTCATTCACTCACGCACCTATCCATCCATTCTATTTATTTATTTATTTATTTATTTATTTTGGAGATAGAGTCTTGCTCTGTCACGCAGAGTAGAGTGTAGCAGCATGACCTCGGCTCACTGCAACCTCCGTCTCCTGGGTTCAAGTGATTCTCCTGCCTCAGCCTCTCGAATAGCTGGGATCACAGGCTCAAGCTGCCATGCCCAGCTAATTTTTTTTTCTTTTTTTTGTAGTAGAGATGGGGTTTTCCTATGTTGGCCAGGCTGGTCTTGAATGCCTGACCTCAAGTGATCCACCTGCCTCAGCCTCCCAAAGTGCTAGGATTATAAGCGTGAGGGTTAGGGTTAGGGTTAGGGTTGGCTCTGGGAAGTGTGGCTGCAGGAGATGGGGGACGGCCAGACACTGGACCCCAGGCAGCTTCGCTCCTCTGGCCCTGGGCAGCCAGGGCATCTGGGAAGGAAGAGCTCCCACATATTCTACCTCCCCAGGAACCGCAGACACCCCCCGGGGTGTGCACATGGTCTGGAAGGGGATGAGGAGCCAGGCCACCCCAGCCCTTCTCAGCCATGCTTCTCGGGGCTGAGCTGAGGGGAGAGGTGTGGTCAGCGCTGGGGAGGATTTCCCCAGTGTGTGCAGGAAGCCTTGCTCAGCCCCGTCCTACCCCAGTTCCCTGGGACAGGGCTAGGGCCTGTGACTTAGGATTAACGGGCCGACAGAAGAGTCATATCATTAACACTCTTTCCTCACTGTGAAAATAGCTTTCTTGTTCATTTTATGTGGGCAATGCAAGTTTGCTATACACGTTCCAAAGATGCAGTGAGAGCCCAGGGTGTCTGGCCTCTCCCTCGGGCACAGGTGGTTCTCCCGGCGGCCCTGCCCTCTGTCCTGCCTGCAGGCTCACCTTTTTGACCCAGCCACACCTGATACCTCCGGGAACCACTCAGGCTTCCCTACGGCTAAGCCTCACTGACACCCCGGGGAGCCACCTCTGGTTCCTGTGAGGACTCTTCCGTCTACGACACCACCTCCCACTGCATTTCTTTTCTTTTCTTAAATTTTTTTGAGACAGAGTCTTGCTCTGTTGCCAGATTAGAGTGCAGTGGCATGATCTCGGCTCATTGCAACCTCCACCTCCCGGATTCAAGCCGTTCTCCCACCTCGGCTTCCCAAGTAGTTGGGATTACAGGCACCCGCCACTGCATCTGCCTAATTCTTGTATTTTTAGTAGAGACGGGATTTCACCATCTTGGCCAGGCTGGTCTCGAACTCCCGACCTCCTGATCCACCTGCCTTGGCCTCCCGGCTGCATTTCAAATCCCTGTCACACACTCACCACCCTCCAGGCCCTGAAATCAGGTAGAACACGTTTATTCCCCGATAGCCCAGGACACGCCACCTTAGTGGCATCCGTAGAACAATGAATAAAGGATGGCATCAATGAATGAATGGATGAGAGCCTGAAAATGACTGAACTGTGGGTGAATCTGCCAACACCCTCACTCAGTAACGGGGTACGCTGCACATAAAACACAGTAGGGGTGGGGCACGGTGGCTCACGCCTGTCATCCCAGCACTTTGGGAGGCCGAGGCAGGTGGATCACCTTAGGTCAGGAGTTCAAGACCAGCGTGTCCAACACAGCAAAACCCCGTCTCTACTAAAAATACAAAGATCAGCTGGGCGTGGTGGCAGACACCTGTAATCCCAGCTCCTCCGGAGGCTAAGGCAGGAGAATCGCTTGAACTCAGAGGGTGGAGGTTGCAGTGAGCTGAGATTGTGCCACTGCACTCTAGCCTGGGTGACAGAGCCAGAGTCTGTACAACAGCAGTGCCAGCAGCAATGCCACGATAAGGAGTGATGGCCCCGAGGTTGGGGAAGAGGCTCTGAACCTCTCACCCACCCAAACTCCACCTGCCCCAGCCCAGGCCTGCCCCGTTCCCCCAGCACTCAGGCTTCCCAAATGGGAGAGCTGGGCCACCCACTCTGCAGCCACAGAGACCACTCTGACCACCAGCCTGTGTACGCAGACAGTTTAATGAGACAATCACAGCCGGATGGCAACCCAACACCGCAGAGGCCGCCACCCTCCTCTTGGGACCCACAGAGAAGGAGAGGGGAGGAAGAGCGGGATGGGAGCAGGCTGAAGCTCAGGGAAGTGGGGGGGCGTATAGGTGGAGGGGCTCGGAAATCCGTTCCAGGGAAGGTCAGGACGAAGCTGCTGTCTCCTCCGCTGTTCCTGGCACCCCCTGGGGCTCACCCACACTTCCTGATTTGCCAGCGGATCCAGGCAACGTGGCTCCGGACGCTCGTGAAGACGGCCGGCAGCTCAATCATGGAGCAGCCGATGCCCCAGCTGACCACGCCAACCTGGACCCAGGAGCCTCCCTTCTTGCAGACCAGGGGCCCTCCGGAGTCCCCCTTCAGAGAGAGGACACTGACACGTCTCACCAGGGGCCTTCGTACAACGGGACCCCTCGTAGAGCCTCGAGAGGCCCAGGCTAGGGGGAGCCCCCCGGGGCCAGGCGGAGCCTGAGGGTCTCACCATGCAGGGCCCCCGGCCCAGGGTGCCGGCACACAGCGTGTCCTCTGGGATGACCTTCTCGTTGGCGCTGGCGTGCAGGTAGTTCTTGTAACCCTCCTCACAGGCCTGGCGGTCCTCCAGCGGGATCTGCACCTCCTGCAGGCGGTAGGGCGGGTGTAGTGGCGCTGGGGGAGGAAGAGGGGAGTCAGGAAGCAGCAGGGGGCTGTGTCCCCGACACGGTGCGTTCGCTCACACCCGCCACGGCCAAGGCAGCCACGGGGAGGGTCCACACCGCCTGTGACTCGTGGGCCCCGGGCTCTGGTCCTGCTCTCACCCGACCTGGAGCCACCCTGGGCCTCAGTGTCCCCATCTGTCCTTGGTGGGGGTGTGTCCTCAGCCCATCTCTGCAGCGCCCTCCTTCCGTGATAGACAGGCTCCAATTCCACAGACAGACCCCGACAGACCGGGGCTGGGCATACACGTCTCTCCAAAGCTCCGGGATGGGATCTTACTTGGAAACCGAATCTTGGCAGATTGATTAAGGTGGAGTGAGGCCATGCTGGGATAGGCATAGGAGGGGCTCAGTCCAAGACAGGTGCCCTCATGAGAGGCAGGACAGGAGTGGACCCAGGCTCAGGGGAGAGGTGACATGAAGACCGAGGCAGAGATGGTGGGCATGCGACCGTGAGCCCCAGGACACCAGGGCCACCAGAGGCTGGGAGAGACCAGGAGGGACCGTACCCTAGAGCCTGAGCGGGAGGAGGGCCCTGCCCACACCCGGACTTTGGGAGAACACATCTCTGTGGCGTGAAGCCCCCAGGGTGTGGGCCTTGTCACAGCAGCCCCAGGACACAGACACAGGGGCGGGGACGGGGGGCCAGCAGCCCAAAGGTCCCCAGAACATATGAAGAAGCATGACTTCCCCCATTGAAAAACATAACCAGATTCATCCTCCCACCCCCTCCATGCCCCAAAAATCCACACAGAACAGTGTGAGGGCAGCAGGCTGTGGACCCGGGGAACCTGGGCAGATTCCGCCACAGCCGATGGCAGACCGAGAGAGCTGGGAACCGCCCTCCACCGTCACTAATGCAAAATGAATATCAGCGCGTAAGCGTGGACGCAGGGGGCTGAGGCCGAGCGGAGTGGGGAGGTCAGCTGCAGCCTGCTGGGGGGAGGGGGGCCCCTTTCCTTCCCTGTCCCATTTATTTCTGAGCTTGTGAATGTCAGCTCCCAAGGGACCTGCCCACGTGGGCATGGAGGGCAAATTCTGGAAACTTCCCCACGCCTCTCCACCACCCTCCCCCTCCTCCCGCCCGCCATCACTCTCACCGAAGTAGGATGTCCTGCCTCAGCCAGTCAGCCAGCACTCGTCCTCCGGGGTGAAGTTCAGGGCCTCCAGTGGCAGGGCGACCAGCTGAACGCTGCTTGCTGCATTCACGGGGGTGGCCAGCCTCAGCAAGGCTAGGTCGAATCCCAGGTGGGCAGCAACGTAGTCAGGGTGGACGATGACCCGGCTGACATTCAGCAGCTCCCGGCCCCCGTAGAGATACACATCCCCGGCGTGGATCCGGTAGGTGGACGGGTCAGTGTCCTTCCTGGGGAGGACGGACCCCAGCTTCTCAGGGGGCCTGGCCTGGGGCGGCCCCACTCCCACCCTCCCCTCACTGGGGTCTCTGCCCGGGACTCACCCGAAGATGCAGTGGGCAGCGGTCAGCACCCACCGGGGGTGGATGAGGGAGTCCCCGCAGATGTGCACCCAGGACGCCCAGTGGTAGTTGTAGATCCTCAGGCTGACCTGCCACGGCCACTTCCCCTGGGGGGCGTTGTGGCCCCCCACGATGCCCAGCAGGTCATTCTCGGGGACAGGCGCTGGGAGCAACAGGAGGAGGTCAGGGAGCCCGGCCCCACCCTCCTGCAATTCCAGGAGCTTCCAGGCCCTGCTCCATGAGGGGTCAGCTCTCTGTCCTAGCCCAGTCCCCTAGGGTCCAGTGTGGGATTGGGCCAGGACTCACCTGGGGTGTCAGGCACGGAGCCCCCCAGGTGGGGAAGGCCAGGAATAGCAGCCACAGCATCTGCGCAGGGAGGAGAGGGCTGGGTGAGAAGAGCCAGGCAGGACCTGGGTCTGACTCCACTGGTGGCTGCTGGGCGGTCAGTGTCCTCACTGTGATCTGTGGCCACAGCTGCCCTCATGGACTCACCTGGAGCTCCTTTATCTTCCTTGCAAAGGAAGTAGGTGGGGCTCGGTCAGACCTTTCTCCTGCTGGGGCAGGGGCAATGGCTCAAGGCCAGGCTGTGACCGGGTGACCAGGAGGACACAGGCCACCCCCAGCCCTGGTGACTGTTCCCCAAGGGACAGTTGTGGTTGTCAGGGATAAGGGGTCTGCCTCTAGTGGGAAGAGGCCGGGGCTGGGGTCTGTGAAATGTCCACGGTGCACAGGACAGCCCCACCCCACCGCAGAGGACCCTGGCCCCAAATGCCCACAGCCCCCAAGGTGTCACCACGCCACCCGTCTTCATGGCCACTGCCCCGGAGGCCAAGGTAGCAGATGGGCCTCAGTGGAGAAATGGCCAGTGACCAGCACTCCCGAAGCCTCTCCTGCCACCCGGGACGAGATGGGACGGGCACTCATACCCCCTCCATGGGGGCAAAAGCATCAGCCAGAGGGAGGGGCGTGAGAGTCGCTGGGAACCAGGGCCGGGGGACCCTCCTACTCCATGGTGGCTGCCCCAGGCCCAGGCTCCAGCCCTTGGAGTGAGTTTTCAGACAACACTGCGGGGTCCACGCGGAAGATCTTCTGGATGGGCTCGTTTTAATCCCATTTTAATAACATAAACCCATTTTCATCAGGTACAGACCTCAGGTAGCAGGAGGGGTCCCCTGCACTGGGAGAGGGGCCATCACCTGCTGGGATTCTCAGAGGGTGGGGAGCTGCATTCCCACGGTAGGGCCCAGCCCCCAGGCCCCAGCTGCCCACTGCTGAGCTTCGGGGCTCCGGCAACCAATGCCAGACGCGTGCTAGGGCTGAAGGGGCTGCAGAGGCCGAGGTTCCCCTGCAGCCTCTCCTCCAGGAGGCTTGCCTTGCTGTGGGATTGTCATGGGGGGGTGGTGATTGTGGGGGTGTGGGAACACACGGAAGCACTGTGAATGGGGGCATGGGGGCATGTGCACTCATGCCTATGTGTGTGTGTGTGTGTGTGTGCATCCCTGTGTGTGTGCATGCCTGTGTGTGTG